AAAGGTAATGATAGTCCACCAGTTGGCTCAGCAGTAAAAATATTAAAACATTTATAATAAGGAAACATTGAACATATATTTATCGTAAAATTGTAATATAGTTGTTAATATAATAGGCACCCGGAAGAATATAAAGGAGGGATTCAGAAACAACTAATTTTACTGTAGCCACTCTAGCCCCTGTAATCATCAGCTCTTTTTAAAGAAAGTGCAAAATAATAATAGTCAATAAAAGCATCAAGGTGCTTTTATTATTAATTAATAATAATGTTTTATTAATAAAAAACATTAAGTGAGTACTTAAAAGAGTTCTGGGCTCCAGAAATCACAAAAAAACACTGACAGATTTGATTATGTAAGCTAAAACATTCAATTTTAGAAAAATCATAATCAGGCCAGGCACAGTGTCAAATGCCTAGAATCCCAACACTTTGGGAGGCCAAGACAGGTGTATTGCTTGAGCCCAGGAGTTCTAAATCAGTCTAGGCAAAATGGTAAAACCCCATCTCTATAAAAACTTTAAAAATTAGCCAGGCTCGGTGGTGTGTACCTGTAGTCCCAGCTACTCAGGAGGCTAAGGTGGGAGAATCACTTGAGCCTGGGAAGCAGAGGTTGGCAGTGAGCCGAGACCACGCCATTGCACTCCAGCCTGGACAACTGAGTGAGACTCCTTCTCAAAAAAAAAAAATAAAAAAAATCAGAGTTAAAGCACTAATATATTGGAGAAAAATGACAAAGGGCTCATTTTCTTAGTATATAAAGAGCAAAAAACTCCTACAAATCAAATATGCAAATAATATACAGAGAACCTCTATACCAAAATTATAAAAATTACTAGGAGATACTGCAGCAGATTGAAACAAATAGAAGAAAATATTTTTATAATATTAAAAATTTATCAGTAACATATTGTGAAAATGTTAATTCTCCTCAAAATTGATATGCACAATGAAATTTCATCCAAATTCCCAGCTTGTTTGTGTGTGTGTGAAAATTGTTAAGCTAGTTCTAAATGTATACACAAATGTAAAAAAAATGAAAAGAATAAGGTGGGAAGATTTAAAGACATGTAGAAAGCAATCGGGCATGGTGGCTCACGCCTGTAATTCCAGCACTTTGGGAGGCCAAGGCAGGCAGATCACCTGAGGTCAAGAGTTCAAGACCCAGCCTGACCAACATGGTAAAACCCCATCTCTACTAAAAATACAAAATTGGCAATAAGCCTGTATAATGCCACTGCACTCCAGCCTGGGTAACAAAGTGAGATTCTGTCTAAAAAAAAAATTAAAAAAAAAAAGAAAAAAGACAGAAAACACATACTTTGTGACTTCTGAAATTACCAACCAATAAATCAGAAGAGAAACTAACAAGAGACCCATAATGTATAAATACTTGATTCATGGCAAAGGAATAAAGAAAAATCAATTTTTCAATAAATGGTGCTGAGTCAACTGAATATTCATATGGAGAAAACATGTAACTTTACATAAACTGTACTCAATACATAAAAATCAATTACAGGTAATCTGTAGATAGAAATGTAAAATGTAAATTAATAAAGCTTCACAAGATAATATGAGCAAATATCTTCATGATCTTGAGGTAGAGAAAGATTTTATTTCTTTGAGACTGGGTCTCACTCTGTCACCCAGTACAGTGGCATGATCATGGATGGCTCAAGACAGCCTCAACCTCCCAGGCTCAAGCAATCCTCCTCCTTCAGCCTGCTTAGTAGCTAGGACTACAGATGCACATGATGACATCTAACTAATTAAAAAAAAATTTTTTTTGTAGGGACAGAGTCTCACTGTGTTGCCCAGGCTGGTCTTGAAGTCCTCACCTTAAGTGATCCTCCTGCTTCAGCCCCTCCAAGTCTGGGATTACAGGTATGAGCCACTGCGCCGGCCAGAGAAAGATTTCTTAAACAAGATACAAAAGCACTAATTGTAAAGGAAATAACAAATAAATTATATTACATTAAAAATGATAAACTAGGGCCAGGCACAGTGGCTTATGCCTATAATCCCAACACTTTGGGAGGCTGAGGCAGGCAGATCATGAGGACAGGAGTTCGAGACCAACCTGGCCAACATGGTGAAACACTGTCTCTACTAAAAATACAAAAATTAGGGCACGGTGGCAGGCACCTGTAATCCCAGCTACGTGGGAGGCTGAGGCAGGAGAATCACTTGAACCCTGGAGGTGGAAGTTGCTGTGAGCCAAATCACACCACTGCACTCCAGCCTGGGCAACAAAACAAGATTCCATCTCCAAAAATAAAAATAAAAAATTATAAACTAGGCCAGATGTGATGGTTCACACCTATAATCCCAACACTTTGGGAGGCTGAGGCAGGAGGATCGTTTGAGCCCAGGAGTTCGAAACCAGCCTGTGCAACTTGGTGAAGTCCCATCTCTTAAAAAAAATTTAAAATTAGCTGGGCAGCCGAGCGTGGTGGCTCCTGCCTGTAATCCCAGCACTTTGGGAGGCCGAGGCAGGCAGATCACTTGAGGCCAGGAGTTTGAAAACAGCCTGGTCAACATAGCAAATTGTTAAGCTAGTTCAAATTTACATACAACATACTAAAAATACAAAAAGTTAGCCAGGCATGATGGCATATGCCTGAATCCCAGCCACACAGGAGGCTGAGGCAGGAGGATTGCTTGAATCCAGGAGACAAAGGTTGCAGTGAGCTGAGATCACGCCACTGCACTCTAGCCTGTGCGACAGAGCAAGACCTTATCTATAAATAAATAAATAAGCTGGGTGTAGTATTGGGCACACGTAGTGCAAGCTACTTGGGAGTCTGAGGCAGGAGGGTTGCTTGAGCGCAAGAAGTCGAGGCTGCAATGAGCCATGTTCATGCACTACACTCCAGCCTGGGCGACAGAATTAAGCCTCTGTTTCAAAAATACAAGCAAACAAAAAAGACAAACTTTGATTCATCAAAGAAACCATTAAGAGTGAAAAGGTAAGTAAGGGTCAGGAAAGATATTTGCAGAGCATACAATTGACACTGAGAAGGTATCCAAATTACATAAAGAATTACAACAAATTTTTTAAAGCATAAGCACATCAATTAAAAAATGAGGAGGAAGGCGGAACGGACACTACATCAAAGAAGACAAAGAGATGGCCAATAGGCATACAAAAAAGATGTACAGCAGGCAGGAAAATGCAAATTAAAACTATAACTGAAGTACCAGTATATACCCACCAGAATAGCTAAAATTGAAAACAAAAAACAGTCAACATCAAGTGTTGGTAAAGATGTAGAGTGATGGGGACTCTTATACACTCCTGATGGAGATGTAAATTATAAAAACCACTTTGGAAACCAGTTTGGCATTATGTACTAAAAGTAAATATATCCTATCCAGTGACTTAATGATGATACTCCTAGGTAGTATAACCAACAGCAGTATGTTACACGTGTGTGTATATGTACATGTTCATAATGGTACTTGAATGTTCGTAGCAGTAATATCTGTTAATAGTCCCTAAACACAAATAACATAAACATCTGAAGAATGGATAAATTGTGGTATATTTATGCAAGAGAATACTACACCAGCAATGAAAATGAATAACTTATAGCCACAGACAACAACATAAATGAATTTCAAAACTGCAATATTAAACAAAGAGGGTATACACAAAGAATACACTGTGTACGTTTCTATTTATATGAAGTTTTAAAAGCATAGCTAATATATGGTGCTATGGATATCTCAGGGAAAAGCGAAAACGGTAGTGATTGAAAAGGGGCAGAAGGAGAGCTTCTGGGATGCTGGTAACGCTCTATTTGTTAAAGGTAGAGGTTATATGACTGTTTACTTTGTGGTGATTTACTTATTTTGTATATATATTACACTTTTTTTCTTTATATCTTCTAATATGTATTATGCTTTAACAAAAATGGAATTTTTTTTTTTTTTTTGGGGGGGACGGAGTTTCGCT